GTTGTCATACAGTGTTATGCTGGATTTCATCAATATTACATCAACATTAACTAACACAGACTATATCTGAAGTGTTTGGAAGTAATTCGCGTTTTCCCTTCTGTTGAAAAACGTCATAAGAACAATGTTTAGTGGCTCAGTGTATTACTACAGTGTTTTTAAAAGTCTAAACACTTTATTGATATAGTGTACAACCAAGCACAAGTGTTCAGAATACTAACGAGTCACAGGTGATAAAGTATTAAGCGTTCTCCCAAAGTAAAGTGTGTCTGAATCAGGTCCAAGCAAACTGTCTGCAGGTGTCTGTAGCTCCGCTCACTCTCCGCCTCTTTGCCCTTGTTTGGTATCCCGCCGTGGGTGTGATGACGCGAAAACAAAATGGCGACGGTTGGCCGCGCCGACTTGTGGCTTCTTTTGCGCTCTTTAGAAACCTATGGGTGACGTCACGGATACTACGTCCATATATTTTACAGTCTATGGTTGCTCTCAGCAGTCACACTTTTTAAATTAATTTATTTATTTATTTACTTGACCACAGTGTTCTTATTCATTATTTTACCGCAGCTCTGCTCTTATTACATATAACCAGCCTGCAGGTTAATGATGATATAACTCAGGTGAGTCACTTTACAACATACAACTGTTGTGGTACAGTGGTTGTCACGTTTGATTACAACGTCGCCGACCCGGGTTTGATCCCCGTCTGATTATGGTATTTTTTTTTATTGTTAAGACATTCAATACTGTTAGGGTTGTTGAACATTTGAAGTTCTAAAGCAGCTGTTTTCTCAAAAAAAGACGTGATAGTGTCATTAGAAACTGAATTGGAATGACCGTATTTTAATATAGTCAGTGGTGAACTGAGGTGGGCCGGTCTGAGGCTTGAAACTCCAGGGCTGAAAAGGAGTCCCACTCCGGCCCTGTGTAGAATACTTATTTACCCCATTGTATGTATCCCTACTTGTAGGCCAGATGGATGTGCTCTTTATTAAAGATCCAACTTGACACTGCATACTTGCTAATTGAGCAATGCTAGATGCAGAGCAGTGTGTTTTTCTAATGCTGTGCCAAAGGACAGACCCCGCCACCTGTTTAAAGGCAACTTTGCATGTGTATAAAAAGTACACTTGGCATCAGAAAAAGTGAAAGGGCATCACCGTTTAACAGAAAACGCCCTCGGTTTTTTTGGGCCAACTACAGAGCGAGCGTTGCATGCCAAAGGCTGAAATCAATATCCTGTCCAAAGTTGACAGACCCTTCATTGCTCATTCAAGTCGGACACTTTGATGCGCATCCAAACTGCACAAATTTGCAGCAAAACATCAATAATTGATTGAACTAAAATCAGCGGAGAAAAACAAACGCAGCCCTTGTTGTCCATTGGTTACAAATGCTGCTACCTTTCAAAAGCCGCTTCCTGACTGAATATTGCATGGGCTTTGGTTGCGTAAGGTCTTTAAATGAAGTCCACATTGCATTTATTTTGGCAAAGAACTGCTTAGCTTATAGAGGACGAGATCATCGGACTGACACAAAGCAAACAATCACACTTTCATCGGAATGCTTTGAAAACAATATGGGATTAGTGTATGTGTCTGAAATCAGTATTCATAAAACACCCTGAACCAAAGTTAGGCATCACGGTGGCGCAGTGGGTAGCACAATCGCCTCACAGCCAGAAGGACGCTGATTCGAGCCCCAACTGGATCAGTTGGCGTTTCTGTGTAGAGTTTGCATGTTCAAAAAAGTGCGTCCAACCCGGTACTAGTAAGGTGTACCTAATAAAGTGGCCGGTGAGTGTATATGAGTGCATCCCTCACAAATCACATATCTCATTTAAATGAATATTTTCTAAAGGATGCTTTAATATATTATATTTATGTATATACATTAGATTAGTCAGTACTGAAGCCAAATCTGGAGCTTATCTAACAAAATATAACCATAGCAGTGCAAAAATTAGTAGCTGTTATATGTTAGGAAAAATATTAAATGAGAGCAGAAATGAAGAGAAACAAAAAATATCAAAAGTTTTGTTAAAATTGTTTTTTTTTTATTATCGTTCCATTTCTAAAAATGTTAAATGACTAAAATTTTTATTTTAATAAATATATCTGTTTAATAAATCTATTTTGTTCAGATGCACCCAAAAATATTACCTATAATAAATATAAATATTTAAAATAGGGTGTACTTATATATATATATATATATATATATATATATATATATATATATATATATATATATGTGTGTGTGTGTGTGTGTGTGTGTGTGTGTGTGTGTATATACATACATACATACATACATATATGTATATATATATGTATATGTGTGTGTGTGTGTGTGTGTGTGTGTGTGTGTGTGTGTGTGTATATATATATACATACATACATACATATATATATACATATATACATATACATATATATATATATATATATATATATATATATATATATATATATATATATATATATATATATATATATATACATACTTGTATGTATTTATGTATGTATGTATGTGTGTGTGTGTTTATTAAATGTAAAAAAATAAGAATGTTGTTTCCAATTTAGACAGTATATGTGTTACTCTGAATGACCATGGAACTTTATTTCACCCATATTTTTGCATTTTATTTTCCCTAAAATTATTTGAAACTTTCACATACACATTTTACATGCATTTATTTTGCTTTCTATGCATATGAAATGACTTTAGTGAATTTATTTCAATGCTGGCACCAAAATGGGACGTCTAACATTTGTGATGTGAACATCTGCATGCATGCCTTTACAATCAAGCACCCAAACAAGCATGGCTGAAAGAGTTGGCATCTCTCAAACAACCGTCATTATTCCAATGCCGTTTGTGTGTTATTGGCTGTGATTGCGCTTTTTGGCAGATTAGGTTGACTGAGAAATGTAAATAATGTGCCAAATTAACGTCGTAAATCTGTGAAACACCGAAAGCCGCACAGCTCCAACTTCCTTTTTTCAAAGCAATTAAAGTGTTCTAGCTCAGTAGTTTTTTGAAGAAACGCTCCTTGCATTTATTACGGCAAGCTATTGGCTTAGTTATTAGACAGATATTAGATCCTTCAAATGGAAAACAGTCTGTCAGCTCTAATCGACAAGCACGCAGGCTTTAATCTGCCGGAAAGTCCTTTTATTTTCTGTTTCCTTTTAAAGAAAAGCTGTCAAACCAAACCATTCCCAATCATATATAAGCCTGTTCGTTTTCTTTCACTTGACGTATGAATCTGATCTATTGTGTCAGATTTTAAATCACACTGTGTTAATGGGGAAAAGTGTGTAATTTATTCATTCAAAGTTAAACTGCTGTCTTCTGGGCCGGTTTAATGTACAAACTATACAGTTGAAGTCAAAATGATTAGCCCTCCTGTGATTTTTTTATTTATTTATTTATTATATTTCCCAAATGATGTTTAACAGCGCATGCAATTTTTTTTTTTTTTTTGTAATTTAACTTTTTTATTTTATTTTGAACTTTTATACCCCACACAACATAAAATTCACAATACAAAATCAACATTCAGGAAAATAATGTAAACAAATTATAATCAAAATAATAGTAAAAACAAATTATAACAAATATAAAATAATACAATACAATATAACAGACAGTCAAATTGACAACCCTTCAATTTTCATTTTATGTGCTCTCCAAATATTGCAAAAAGCTACCCCATTTCTGATTAAAAGTGTGGGTGGAGTCCTGAAGTCTTGCCAACATACGTTCATACGATGCAGAAGAAATCATCAGTTCAATCCGATCTTTAAATCAAGGAGTATCCGAGTTCTTCCAATTTCGCAGCACTAGTCTCACAGCAATAATACATCCTGCGATGACTAGCCCAGCCTGTGCTTTAGATATTTCGTTCTGTAAAGTGGACGCAAAGGAAATTTTCACAGTATTTCCTGTAATATTTTTAAAAAATATTTTTATAAATATAAAGTCTTATTTGTTTTGATTCAGCTGGAATCAAAGCAGTTTTTAATTGTTTTTAAAACTATTTTAAGGTAGATATCATTAGCCCCTTTGTAACAAGTAGTCGGAGTACAATGGAGTTGAGGGTCCAAATGCAGTTTATAAACTCAGAGTCATGCAGACAGTGGTCAAACATCAGCAAACAATATCATACAGCGTCATTGTGGTCACAGGCAAAGAGTAGGGATATATATATATTCATTCATTTTCTTGTTGGCTTAGTCCCTCTATTAATCCGGGGTCGCCACAGCGGAATGAACCGCCAACTTATCCAGCAAGTTTTTACGCAGCGGATGCCCTTCCAGCCGCAACCTATCTCTGGGGAAAAAAAAAAAAAAAAAAATATATATATATATATATATATATATATATATATATATATATATATATATATATATATATATATATATATATATACTGCATGAAATAAGTCTTCATAATCTACAGCTGTGTGCAAGTAATCAGGGGTCATCCGAAACTGGTGTGTGAGTGAGGTGAATGATGGGAAATGTAGTGCAGTTCGGCGGCAGAATTGTTGTTCCGGTGATGGTGCATGTTTTCCAGCGATCTGCAAGGCCTAGATGGTGATTGACACCCTTTAAGCAGTATTTTTTTTTTTTTTTTTACATGCTTATTACCCTAACTTGCCTAATTACGCCTTTAAATGTCACCTTAAGCTGAAAACTAGCATCTTAAAAAATGTGTAGTCAAATATAATGTGCTGTCATCATGGCAAAGATTAAATAAATCAGTTATTATAGATGAGTTATTGAAACTATTATGTTTAGAAATGTGTTGAAAAAAAAATCTGCTTTCCGTAAACGGAAACTGAGGGAATATATACTGAGGGGCTAATAATTCCGACTTCAACTGTATATAAGCCACTGTAAGAACAACATCTTGCAGATTACAAGGCACTGGTGCAGAAATGATTCACCTCAGCTTTAATATGATTGTTGTTTATTTGTCCTCACTTTATTTGGTAGGAGTTTGGCTGAAATCAGAGGACACCGTACCCTTGAAGACAAAGCGGGCAGACTTTGCTGCAGCCATAGTGCGAGGCAGAATGATCGTGGCGGGAGGTCTAGGTATGGAAGTCGCACTGTAATATATTTATCTTCCTCACAGTTGCTGTCCCGGTTGGTGTCATCCAAACATCTGCTCTCTTCTTACAGGCCATCAGCCATCAGTGCTGGACACTGTTGAAGCTTTTCATCCCGAAAAAAGGAAATGGGAAAGGCTGTCGCCCATGGCCACGCCGCGCTGCTCTGCCTCCAGCATCGTGATCCGGGATCGCCTGTTGGTAGTGGGAGGTGTCAATCAAGTCCCAAGCTCCGCCCATGAGATTCTATATGTTAAAGAGGAAGAGATTCTTTAACCACTGAACTACTTTAGGTTTACGCTGGGAGAAAAAAAAGGTGGCCTTCAATGATCTAGTAAAACAAATGTTTATACTAAAGGTGCGGTTACAAGTAACATTGCTCAGATAAATTCATCGATTCCAGTATGATTCTACACAGGACAAAAATGAATTTAGACCCTGTCCACACAAACACGGGTATTTAACCCTTGTGTAATGTTCAAATTAGGTAAAGTAAGACACTAAAGGTTTATATTTATTCCACCTTTCCTAGACATGAGTCACAAAGTGCTTTACAATTAAAGAAAACCAGAAAAAGTACACATATAAATTAAAGAAAACATAAGTGAAGTTTATTTATAAACTAATTTCAAGAGGATCACATGCTTGTGATTGCTTGCGGCTGGTCCCGCATTATCCAACTTATGATTCACCAATCAGACGATTTCTAAGCCACTATAAATACTCTAAGTTCCATATAACAGCCATCTTCGTTTTGAGAATCCCCCCTTCCACCCCTACTTCTTCTCCTTTCCTAGATGAGTGGCACGGTGGCCCAGGGGTTAGCACTGTTTCACAGCAAAAACGTCAGTGGTTCCTGTCCTTACCAAGACAGTCGAAGTTTACACGGTCTACACCAGGCGTGTCCAAACTACAGCCCGCGGGCCATCTGCGGCCCGCAATCAGTTTTGTGGCGGCCCGCGAGGCTTTTTATAAATATCAATAGAATCTGGCCCGCTATACAAAAATGAACGTAATTCAATAAATAACCACCGGGTGTCGCTATTACATGCATTCAATTAAGCAGCAGTTCTTGTTATGATCTATCTATCTATCTATCTATCTATCTATCTATCTATCTATCTATCTATCTATCTATCTATCTATCTATCTATCTATATATCTATCTATCTATCTATCTATCTGTCTGTCTATCTATCTATCTATCTATCTATCTATCTATCTATCTATCTATCTATCTATCTGTCTATCTGTCTGTCTGTCTGTCTGTCTGTCTGTCTATCTATCTACACACAGTTGAAGTCTGAATTATTTGCCCCTCTTTGATTTATTTCTTCTTTTTTAAATATTTCCCAAATGATGTTTAACAGAGCAAGGACATTTTTACCGTATGTCTGATAATATTTTTTCTTTTGGAGAAAGACTTTTGTTTTATTTCGGCTAGAATAAAAAGCGGTTTAAATTTTTTTATGAACCATTTTAAGGTGAAAATTATTAGCCCCTTAAGTCTTCAGAACAAACCATTGTTATAAAATAACTTGCCTAATTACCTTAACTTGACTAGTTAACTTGATTAACCTAGTTAAGCCTTTAAATGTCACTTTAAGCTGTATAGAAGTGTCTTAAAAATATCCAGTCAAATATTATTTACTGTCATCATGGCAAATATAAAATAAATCAGTTATTAGAAATGAGTTACTAAAACTAATATGTTTAGAAATGTGTGGAAAAAAATCTTCTCTCCGTTAAACAGAAATTGGGGAAAAAATAAACGGGGGCTAATAATGTAGGGGGGCTAACAATTCTGACTTCAAGTGTATTTATATATATACGTGTCTGTGTGATGTATGTAAAATTTGGCCCGCGACAACGTTTGTTTTTTTGCATCTGGCCCTCGGCCCAAAAAGTTTGGACACCCCTGGTCTACACGGTTTCCCCAGTGTTCCCTGGTTTCCTCCCACCATCCAAAAACATGCAACTTTAGATAATTGACTAATCCAAATCGGCACCATAGACATGCTAGTAGTAAGTGGTTATCTCTTAAGAGCAATCACTATCTGTTCATTAGCTGGTACAGCAGGGGAGTTCTCGAGATCTACCTGAGCTCAAACTCCCCTCTAGCCTTGCAAACAGGGGGGAGCCCAGGGCTCAAGGATTTTATGAGCTCAGGGCTCTCTCCCGGGACAGCATGCCAAACAAGCTTTATAATCAATCATCAGCTAAGTGTGAACTCTTGAAAACAAGTTAAAAATCCAAGTACAGAAACATTAATACTGAGTTCTGGGAATGTCTTTGCCAGAAGAACTCAGAGACCAACTACATGAGTGACTATATAAAAGATCTTGAATATAGAGGGTTGCTTGACCATGCAGAGCTCTATATGTAATGACCAGAATATTAAAATTTACTCTACAACTAATAGGAAGCCAATAGAAAGCAAATTGACTACCCTTTCGTTACGTTTGTGGCTGTTTTTGCAGCATTGACTACAATTGTAACAATATATGTTACCAAAAATCAATACATTTGCTGAAACTCAGAGAAAGTTGTGGCCAAATTAAGACTCAAAATCACCCCAGAGTGGATGCAAACATTCACAACCACACATAAAGGTTAAAAACTGAGCTTTTTCTACGCAGTTTAGCCATTCGTCCACATTCAAACACAGCATCAGGTCACTGACACTGGAACTTTTCCAAAACGTTTCTAAAACTTCTGTTAGGGACAAGATTTTGGGAATATGAATGGGGTCTGTTTAAGCCTCATTCACACTATGAGTGACTCGCGGCGGCAAAGCAACAAGCGACCGTTCATTTCAACGGAGAGTGAGCGACTTTAGGCGGCCCTGTCTAAGCAAGCTACAGCAACCGTTGGTGACCAGGTGGGGTGTCAAGTGATATGACAAAGTTGAGAATCCTTCGACTTTATGCAAATGAAGAGCGACTTTCTTGAGCGACAGCCAATAGGAACACCAGTAGAGCTCACGTGATCCTCTCTCTGCTCGCTCAGAGGCCGGTTGTATTCTCCGTGCTGTAGATCTACACAGACCTGCACTTGCAGCAGATCACCACCCTGAGCGACAGGCAGCTACACATACAACTCTATTTTTCCGCTCTGTGCCAACCAGAAAAAAATTACACCCTACATGGTGGCTCAGTGGATAGCACTGCTGCCTCGCAACAAGAAAGTTGCTGGTTCGAGCCTCTGCTGGGTCAGTTGGCGGTTCTGTGTGAAGTTTGCATGTTCTCCCTGCGTTCGCCTGGGTTTCCTCTGGGTGCTCCGGTTTCCCCCACAGTCCAAAGACATGTGGTATAGGTGAATTGGGTAGGCTAAATTGTCTGTAGTAAATGAGTGTGTCTGGATGTTTCCCAGAGATGGGTTGCAGCTGGAAGGGCCTACCTTGCTTAAAAACATCCTGGGTAAGTTGGCGGTTCATTCCGCTGTGATGACCCCAGATTAATAAAGGGACTAAGCCAAAAAGAAAATGTATGAATGAATGAATAAACAAATATTTATATTTATTGAAAATAAATAAATACATTTAAATGTATTTATTTTAAATACACATATTAAATGTTTATATTTATATATAAAGTCAAACACATAGCGTCGTCTTTATTTCTCGAGGGATGGGAAGGGGGTATATTTAGAGTGGTTTCGCCCAGGGTGCCATTTAAACTAGAACCGCCACTGGCTGTAGTGTATGTGTGAAAGAGTGTTTATGGATGTTTCCCAGTACTGGGATGCAGCTGGAAGAGCATCCGCTGTGTAAAACATATGCTGGTAAAGTTTGCGGTTCATTCCTCTGTGGCAACCCCTGATAAATAAAGGGATTAAGCTGAAGGAAAATGAAAGAATGACTTTATGATTTGGAGAATATTGGATTTCCCAGTACTGGGTTGCGTCTGGAAGGGCATCCACTGTGTAAAACATATGCTGGAATGGTTGGCGGTTCATTCTGCTGTGGTGACCCCTGATAAAAAAGGACTATGCTGGAGGAAAAATGAATGAATGAGTATATTGACAACTGCTTTGGCATGCTTTGACATGATTTGAAGACTTTTTTGCACAAATATGTTTTTTTTTTTTTTTGGACCCGCATCTGTGGACGAGACTTTTTTTAAATGAAAAACTCAATAATACAAATACCTTTGTAAAAGTGGACATGGCTTTAGTCATAGAAAGAAATAGCACTGATTTCAGCAAACTTACAACAATTAACATTGTTCTAATCACAGTATTCTAATATTAATCATGCCAAAAAATGTTCCCCTTTCAGATTTGGTCAGAATTTGCAGTGTAAAAAATTCCCTTAAGCTTTTTTAGCAGGCAAATATCTTGTCATTTAATAGAATTATGAAGTATAAACGTTCACACAAAGTCAAAAGTATTCTCTAAACTGATATTCCACAAACAAAGCCAGTTGTTCCAATTGTGCGTTTCATATAATGACTAAATTTTGCACTCAGATTTAATGGAAATTACTCGGATGAAGGGCAGCATGGTGGCTCAGTGGTTCTCCGGTTTCCCCCACAGTCCAAAGACATGCGCCATAAGTGAATTGGATGACCTAAATTGGCCATAGTGTATGAATGTGTGTGAATGTGATGGTGTATGGGTGTTTCCCAGTGCTGGAAGGACATGCGCCGCGTAAAACATTTGCTGGAATAGTTGGCGGTTCATTCTACTGTGGCGACCTCTGATATCTAAGGGACTAAGCTGAAGGAAACTGAATGAATGAATGATATCCAGCCATTTCAATACTCAATTCTCACAGTAAGGTATATCCTCATATAAATATAAATGCTCATATTTTAAAGACATGATGGGGAAAATGTAATTTAATGCAGTGCTTCTTGTACAATCTGAAACCTACTTTATATCGGATATCACTCAGACAATGGAGGTTGCTGATTTTTAAAGAAAAAAACCCAGGTTAATCCGAGGTTACTGGCAAATTCCTTTAGCACACTTCGGCGTATACCCTATTGTGAGTTTTGCAAGTGAATGACAAAACTCCGTAGTCTGATTTTGTCTAAATTCAAACTAGAAACCTAGAATCCACCCAACTGGAAGTTTCACGCAGAGATGAGATTCGCTGAGCTTCATACATTGCTAAACTATTGCCAATAGACATTTTAAGCACAAGAGATCCCGCTAATGTGACCGCACCTCAAAGCCTGAAATAAACTACACAAACACTCAAATGTGAATGCTCGGCCGACGCAATAGGGGAGTTTCCTTCAAACGTCTTAAATCACATTCAGGTAGCTAGCTGTAAACATGTCAACAGTTTAAAGCTAAAGTGTACGTTTTGCACGGCTAGCACAAGATTTTCTTCAAACTGTTGCTCCGCCATGACAGTAGTTAGTCCACGTTTACACCGATGCCTAATATAGCACCCCTTGTGGCAATGCTGACACATTTCCTAATGCAACAATGCATGAAATCAGACTAGAGTTGTCGTTTACGTACTTACTGTAAGTAGAGTATGTTTAATGTCAGCGCAAACAAGGTTCATGGATGCTAGACTGTTCTACGCTATATGATGAGGAATAATTAAGCACATTTTAAGGAACGACTTATATTTTAGTTCCACAAAGCTTGCAGTTGATGCCATTTTAACAAGATGCACAGCAACGACAATCTGCCTCTTGAAGCCAACAGCACCA